ACAGGACAAGGGAGGGCACTGCGGGCTGAACTGTGCCCCCCAATTCACACTGCAATCCTCACCCTTGTACCCCAGAGGGGACCATGTTGGAGAGGGGTCTTCACAGAGGGGGCTGAAGCGAAGTGAGGTCGTGGGGGTCTCACCCCAGGACCATGTACCCCTAAGGGCAGGGGTCAGGGCACAGACATGCCAGAGGGATGGCCCGTGAGGACACGGGGAAGAGACGCGTCCGCATGGCTGGGAGAGGCCTGGGGAGACCCCGGACACCCTGATCTGGATCCAGCCCCCAGATGGGGACAAGAAATTTCCCTCCTTGAACCTCTTGTCTGTTCTTTGCTCTGGTGGCCCAAGCGGGAGGCAGGAGAGGGTGGTGGGGGCCCTCTGGTGAGGCCTACGGTGGAGAGCTCCCCCCAACCCCAGTCTCCAGTCCTCCATCTTGCTCCCGTAACCCCAGCCGCGGGGCCCCCGTGTCCTGCACCTCAGGCACTGTCGTTGGTCTCCACTCTGCGGGGACAGGACTTGCCGCTTCGCTTAGTTTGGGGCTAGAGACCAGACACCCGCACCAGCCCAGCAGTGTCCACGCTCTCCGCCTGTCCCAGCTTCCACCACCAAGGGCACCCCGGGGCTCCTGGCCGCTCCCAGCAGGATCCTCCTGGGTCATGGCCCTGCTTTCCAGAAGTGTCCAGAGCCCGGCCTGTGCGCTCTGGAGATGGTGTCCATCCTTTCCCGGGTGAGACGCCAGCTCTGAGCGGGGACAGTGCCACCAGGGGACACAGTATGGCCTCAGAGCTGCCCAGTCCCCGTCAGTCCTCACAGCCCAGAGAGGCCCACAGAGGGCCGCACAGCCCTCAGGCTGGCACCCCTGTGACAAGCCGCCTGCCCCACCCAGCACCTCAGGGGAGCAGCCGTAGCCCTAGTGACCCCTGGCACTCTCTGCCAAGGTCACCCTTGGCACTCACCTGGTCCTCCCGGTCCTCAAGCCTCTCCACTCCTCACCCACCTGCCCCTTCCTTACCTGGGAGGCCAGAGCCTGCCCTCGGTGCTCTGCACGCTGTAGTTGGTGTCTGTCCTCAGACACTCGCACACCAGTAGGCATCCAGCAGCGGCCCTTAAGAGCACCTGTCAGCACGCTCAGTGCCCATAAGGGTGCTGGCATGGGGGGCTCAGCACTCCCAGAACCCCAGAGCCCTCACAGGCTGCGCAAGGCCCGGCGGGCTGGGGGCTGCAGTTTGTCTCTCACGGGTGACCTGTCCCCCAGGCTCCTGCCATCTCCTCTGCCCCCGGGGAGAGATCCATCGCCCTCCGAGGTCACGGCAGCCTTCCTGGGCCGGCCCTGGGCAAAGGCCGCCGGCTCGGCTGCTGGACTCACTCCTGCAAGCCTTCCCGCCGCATCCTCAGCGAACCCCTCGAGGAGGGAGGTGGCGGACGGTGGGCACTGGCCGGCTCCCGGCCCGGCCTCCCAGCCAGCTTGATGCTGCGGACCTGCCGGCCCCAGCCCCACCGGCAGCCGAGGCGCGGCCTCCCCCGGGCCTGCCCTCCACGGCCCGAGAGCCCATCCACTTTCGTGCCAACACAACGGAAGCAGGAAGCCAAAGACGCGGCCCGGAGCGTGTGCACGACTCAGGCCAGACCCCGCAGCCCCGACCGCAGCTGGCCCCGCTCTCCGTGGCGGCCCAGGAGGGGCTCCAGGACCCCAGGAGGCTGGTGGCGCTGGTGAGCCAGGCCCGCCCCGCAGAGGGTGGCCCCGGCCTGCAGGGCCCAGCCGCCTCACGTCTTCATCCACCTGGCGTGCAAGGGAAAGGGGGAGCCCACGTTTTCCTTCCAGGGACGGGAGGGCACCCCGCTCGCAGGGCTGACTCCTACACCCGCGTGCGGACAGATCGCCGCCCCCGTGGCCAGAGGCAGCCGCAGAGCGGGCTGGACCGGGAGCTCCGGCCAGCCTCAGCCTCCCTCCGGACGCGGCAGCCTCCTCACAGCGGCTGCGGGCGCGGGCCTCGCGCCAAGAACACGCCTTGCCCTCCCCCTCCCGCGGCTCCATGACGGAGGGGCCACCCCGGGGTGTTCTGTGCGCTGCAGACGGCCCGAGACCGGGGGAGCACTGCCGGCCGGGAAGAGCCCACAGCTACAGTCCGCAGGAGGTGGGGGGAGCTCCAGGGGCCCCTGCTGCCCCCACCCACTCCTCCCACAGCCCCCAGGACGTCGCCTGGCTCTCAGGACTTGGAGACCAGGTGTCACCAGTTACCACCGCAGCGGCGGGGCTGGCAGGCCTGCGTGTGTCCTTAGCGCTCGAGGCCGTGTGCCCCCCTGGAAGGCGCGCCTCTGCAGTGTGTGGGCCTGCAGCCTCCAAGTAGTGGGGTCCCTTGCAAATTGAGCCGAACCTCAATTTTCTCACCTTAAAAAGGAGGGTGATTCCCCCTGGGGCTTGTCATGAGGAGTAGTTGGGAGCCCCAGGAAAGAAGTTCACCCTGATGGTGATGCTCTTGCAAAGCTGGGCCCCATGAGGCGCAGATAGGTGGGGGGGAGCCCCAGGGGGTGATAGCACTGAGGCTCAGGCCTTGGAGGTCGCTCCAGCATTCAGGGCCTCCCCGCCCTCGCAGGCGCGCATTCGCTACCCCTTTGGAATTCCGCGGAGTGTGATTCCTCCTGCACAAGGGGGTCTTCCCCGGAGATCGGTGCCGTCAGCCACGTCACTGCGTCCCGGGAGCCCGCCGAAGCAGGCCCATGACCACGCGCTCCCCCAGCCTCCGCAAGCTCCTGCCTCCTTCAGAACATCCGCGAACAGAGGGTGTTTTCCAACTTAACAGGAAACGCAGCCCAGTGGCTGGTTCCCCAAGGCGCACAGGCACGCACAGGCCACCAGGACGCCCAGGGTGACAGCCCCTCTGGCTTAGCCTGCAGCGGGAGGGTCCCCCTCTGCCGGGCCCTGCTTTGCCCCTGGCAGCCGCTGCTCGGCCCAGGGCCTGTGGGAGTCCCCGGCTGTGTCAGACCCAGCCAAGATCTCCCATGTCCAGGACTACTGTCAGGGCCACGGCCAGCCTCGGAGTGGCACGGTTGGACTAGAACCCTGCACGGTTTTAAAAAACAGCCCCTTCTCCGCCCGGGGAGGGGGCTCGCGAGGCGGGCGGCCCGGCTGGGAGCGAGGCCCCCCACGCCCGGCCAATTGCCGCCTGGAAGCCGGGCCGGGCCGGGCCGTTCATGGAGGCGCCGGCGAGGGGGAAGCGGGGAGGCGCGGGTTATCACGGCCCGGCCTGGGTCGCGCGGCCCCTCGCCGGGAAGGTCCTGCTGGAGGCTGAGGGACAGGCCAGGCTTCCTGGAAGCGCCCCCCAGGCAGGGCCTGGCAGCCCAGCGCGGGCCCTGTCGCTGTGTCTGGAGTCCGTCTTTCCCGCTGATGGAAATCATCTGTTTCCAGCTCCCCGGCAGACTCGTTGAGCTGCAGCCGGGCTTGGCGCTGCGGCCCAGACCGCCCGGGGCCCTCTTCTAAGTTTACCTCCTGTGGCTGCTGGAGGGGGGCGGGCAGCTGCCGGCTGCAGCCCGGGTGCCCTAAGAGGACTGTTTGCCAACGCCGCAGCCCCCTGCCTTGGCGCTCCCCCGCTGGGAATGGCCGCACCCCACCCCGCACCCCACCCCGCACACCTGTTCTCCTGGAAAGGAAATGGCGGAGGGAGCGCTGGCCGCAGCTTCCTCCAGGACGCCTCTCCTGCCCCAGCCTGCAGCCTGGGCGGGGGTTAGAGCGTGGGGGGGCTGCCCGCAGGTGCGGGTCAGGGATGGGGGGGCTTTTCCACTTAACCCAAGGAACCTGCTGTCTGGGGCCTCGCTCCTCCCCAAGCCTCATGTCCGCCCCGTGACTGGAGCGGACGGCTGTCCCCGCTCCCCTCGACCATCCAGCGAGTGACGCTCAGGGCCTGGCGCTTGGTGAGACCCCCACACACTGCTTGGTGGGTGTTGGGGTGTCAGGCAAAGTGCAGGCGCCGGAGTGTTCCTGCACCAGAATCTCACACATGGCTCTGGGGCCCTCTCAAGTCACAGCCCCCCCAGTGACAGGCCGGAGCCAGGGTGAGCACCGGGCCTCGCTCTCAATGGAAAGATTTCCTCACCACAAGTGTTTTGCAAGCCCACCCCCGCCCCCGCCCCGGGCCGTCCATAGTGAATCTTGGCTCCTTGACTTCCAAGGGCGTTACGTAAGCCTCGAGGCTGGTCAAAATAAATAAATAAATAAAAATAAGTAGCTGGAGATGGCGGGCGGGCAGGTTCTGCAGCTGTTCAAACTCTCGGCCCCTTCCCAAGCGGGGGGCGCCCCGCTCCTGGGCCTGTCAGAACCGCGCCGGGAATGTGAGGCATGAGGCCCGGCGGGGTTGCCAGGCTGCCCGGGTTTGCGGGGAGAAGGGCGGCCCCTCGCAGGCCTCCCCGAGTGGCCGGAACCCTCCTCTACGCGGGACCCCCGACGCACCCTGCGTTTGGGGGCGTGGGGGGCTGCAGAACTGAGACGGGGCCAGTGCAACGGCTGCTCCCCACACTGGTCGCTCCGGCGGCCACGTGAGCCGGGGTGGGGGGCCCCAGAGCAAATAGAGGAAGCAGAAGGGGAGCCGGGCTGAGCGGCCAGATTTCCCCACTTCCCCTTTCCGCTCTGGCCAAGCGGCTTCTCTGTTCATGAGTTTTCTTGAACTGCAGGTGCAGGGAGGGAGGCCCCGGGGTTCTGGCCCGGCTGTGACCGGCTCTGCTGAGAGACAGAGCAGAGACCCCGCGGCGTGGTGTTGTTCTCAGAGGCGTGTTTCAATGCCGGTCACTCACGTCCCTCCGCCTCCCTGGCCTCGTGGGCGCGATGGCGGCACTGAGGGACACTGAGCAGCCGGCCAGTGGACACAGGCGGCCAGGTTCGAAATGCCAACCACTGTCAGGGTGCGCGGGTGCCAGGCCCACCGCTCGGGGCAGCTGCAGTGCAGTGAGAAGGTGGGGGGCCAGGGGCGGTGCTGTCAGCGGGGCCCCGGTCCCCCGCACGCGGGTCAGCGAGCTTTGGGGATGGGCCGGTCAGTCAGGGTTACAGGCTTCTGGCCCAAGTGGCCTCCCAGCCCGTCCACCGCTGCCGTATCGCAGAAGCAGGGCTGGACGGACATGAATGAGGGCGTGTCCCCGGAGGCCTGATGGACACAGGGGCCACCAGTTCACTCGGGCCCGTGGACAGAAGGCCGCTGGCCCCTGCAGGAAAATGACCGTGATTGATGCCCCATGCATCGGAGTGGGAGCGAGGGGGTGGGGGGCTGGGGGGTGCTCAGGAGCCCAGGTAAGGGGGCTCTGTCTCCAGCAGACGTCCACCGTCACGGACACCAGGCTGGTCTTGGAGCTGCTGCCTGGGCCTGGGCAGCTGGGAGGGACGCTGGAAGGACGGTGAAGGATGAGGCTGGCAGGAGAACGTGGACCTGGGTTTGGGCCATGGAGGCTGGCTGCTCTGGCCCAGCCCCCCCCACCAGCCCGGGCCACCGGGAGGGACAGTGGCTTCCGGGGAGCGGGCTCCAGACCTCCACGGGGCCGCGGCCCCCACCTTTCTAAGTCACAGCCTTGCCCCGCCCCACGGCTCTCCCTTTTCAGAATTTTCTGATTTGTTTCCGCACTGCGTCTCCACTCCAGAACACGACCCCACCGTCAGGGCCGGGCTTGGGGTCACTGGTTTGCTCTCTGCACCGCCCTCCTCTCCCTGCCCCCACGCCCTCGCCAGTGGCACGCTAGGTGCCCAGTAGGTGTTTGGCAGATGAACGAGTTCATGTCACCAGAGCGAGGCCCCCGCAGCCTACCTGTGCGGCTGCCAAAGGTAGGGCCGAGAAGCCCCCGGCCCCCACGCCTGCGCCTGCGCGCGAAGCCTCATGGCCGCTGGGGGCGCCAGCGTCGGCGGGCTGCAGCCAGAGCTCCCTGCACGCCAGGGCCACGTCCCCGCCACCACCTGGCTTTGGAGCCCGGCTCCCCTTCAGGAGCCCCTGGCCCGGGAGCACCGCTCTCCTGCGGGAGCATCGAGCCCTCCCGCCAGTCTGGAGAACCCCCCAGTTCCGCAGAACTGCAAACCCTCCGAGGTGGCCGTGCCCTGGCGGAACCCCAAACAGCTTCTCAGCCCCCCGCCCCCATCCCTTAGACGGAGTCATGGAAAACTGACCTGGAATTCCAGACAGAAAATCCACAAGGAATGTGCCTTTTGGGGTTTGACAAGATTGACCTTTTGCGGGTGGGATTTGGGTTTGGGGCGGGGGTGGGAAGCTGCCCTGGTCGGTACCCAGGGGGGCCTGCGGAGACCCTTCCGTCTCACGTCGGTTATGAAGGGGGTCTGGGGAGGAAGTGGAGGTTCTAAGCAGCACCAGCGGGGTGGGGGGGGGGAGTGAAAATCTTTCCTCATCTGATCTGGGCTCGCGGTTTTCACCCCCATCCAGCCCGGTCTCTTTTGCCCCGGACTTTTGGGGGTCAGGGGCTGGGGGAACATGGGCAGAAGACGGAAGAGAGACAGGATCACAGAAGGCACATCTTTGGGGGTGAGTGCATCAGAAACACAGCCTGATGCAGGTGGCCAGCCAGCACCGGTGCCCTGAGGCCAGGCTGAGTGACCGCTGTCCTGGAAGGATCCACACCTGCCCCGTGGCTCTGAGGCCCGGCAGCCTCTGCTACCCTTCTGTTGGCCTTGCAAGGTCTGGGCCACACTCCCTGGGCCCTAGGCTGCCCCATGCCCATGGGCCCAAGCCCCTCCGGACATGGGGAGGTAGGCGTCCCCAGTCTAAACCTGGCGCGGCCGTTGGGGGCAGTGGGGCTGCACAACCTGAGCTCCTCGGAGCTAAGTCGACGCCCTGAGGTGGGATCTGGGCTCGTGCCCCTGTGGCCATGTCTCCTGGCCCCCAAGCCCGCTGGTGTGGGGGCCGCCTCTGCCTCTCCGCTCAGCCCCGCCGGCCAAGGCCCTGAGTCAGGCCTTTCCAACAGCCCTTCCTGCTGGGTCGGAGGGCAGGATGGGATGGGGTCCCAGAGCCCTGGCTCCAGAAATAGGCCTTTCTTCCTCATCCAGAGTTCCGCCACGGCCCTGCAGGAAAACGAGCCTTTCCAAGGCGGACGGAGCCTCTGGAAGCTCTGCTGGCCAGGCTGGGTGGGTGGGGTGGGTGCTGGGGCCCGCGGTGCCACCTGGCCGCTTCCACGCCTGTCCCCTCCCGGCCCAGGGCACACGGATCTGTAGGCTGAGTCAGGGCATGCTCTGGGCATGTCGGGACAGGCAGGTGTGCGTCCGGCTCCCCGGACATGACCTGGCCGACCCAGCAGAGCTTTCTCTTCCCCTGCTCCGGGAGCCTGTGGCCACCCAGCCCGGCGGTGGGGTGCGGGCCCAGTCCTGGGAAGCCTGTCCCCACAGCCCAGGCATGAGTCATGGGGCTCACAGGGCCTGCGGATTCCAAGCCCAGCGGTTTCCTGCAGATAAGTGCTAAGTGGAGGGAGCCTGGCAAGAGGAGGCGGAGACAGCGCTTCCTTCAAAGCCCGAGCGCTAATTAGCAATTCCAAGCATACTTTCAACAGTATTTAGGGATTTCCTCATCAAAATAAACTTCCTCCCGTGTTATCTGCACGTTTGGCATGGGGCGGGATCCTTTTTTTGGTCTCATCTATTTATTTTCTTCGAGCTCTAAGACTCCGAGCACATGCACACTGGGCCCCCGGGCAGCGCGGGCTGGGCAGGTGAGGACGAGGGCGCTGGAAACCTCCCTTCCGCACCTGCTCTGCAGGGCCTCCTGCACTCTCCCGCCTCCGCCTCTGGGCCCATCTGCTCTGGGGCTGGCCCTGCTTAGTGGGGCGAGGGGCACCCTGCAGTGTCCTGCCTCACCTCTTCTTAACACCTGACAGGGCCAGGCTGACCCCACAAGGCCTACAAGCAGCCCCGGGGCTGAGGACCGGCTGGATCTGGCCTGTGGGGGCATCTCGGCCACCCAGTGCAGTGAGGGGGCCCTAGTGGGATCCCTGGGCAGGACAGTCCCGCTGGAAAGACTGCCCACCAAAGCTCCTCCTGGAAACAGCCCTGAAGGTGCTGTGGGTGTGCCAGCCGGCCGGGCAGGGAGGGCCACCCTGGGTGCCAGCGTCCCTTGGGTGCTTCCTGGACTGGGCCAGGCCCCGCGGGCTAGTCTTGGCCACAGTAGGTGACTCCCCCAGGATCTGCTGATGCTGGCTAATGGGCCCATCCCCGGCCTGCGATGAAACCAGATGAGATACGTTTTGCTTGAGGCCGGACGATTTGTCAGGAAATGAGGTAGAGGCTGATAACGGAACTGGGGTCTCTGCGGGCTATTTTTGGGAAACAGTGTCCCTGAAAGGCCCCCATCAGCCCTTCTGGGGACAGCAAGTGAGCAGCAGGGCAGGCCCCGGAGGTGGGGGGGCAGAGGCACTGGGCCTTCTCCCCAACACGGGTGTCCGGGTGTCCGTGCTCTCGGCCAGGCACACTTCCGCCACTGCCCACCATGTGGCCTCAGCCCAGCGCTGTGTGGGAGGGGCCAGAGCGCAGTCCCCATGTCCCCGCCAGCGGGACAGATACAGGAGGAAAGACGGGGCAGATGGGCCGAGCCTGAGACACAGATGGCTCCATGGAGGAAGCTGGGGGGGTGGTGGGGAGAATGTACAGGAAAGCAGAAAGAGCTAAAAAGGGCAAACAACGCCCACCTCGACGCCCCAGCAGCCAGCGACCCCCAACCCCAGGGCTGGCAGCCGAGCCCTGAGTTCCCATCGCGGCCTTCATGTCTGAGTGCTGCCTCCACTGCTGGCCAGGGGTAGCCATGAGCCTGGGGGTCACAAAGCAGCCCCCTGGCGTTGGGGCCAACAAGAAGCATCCCATGACAGAGCCTGGGCCCCCAGCAAAGGTGGAGACAAGTGGGCTTCTGCTCAGGGGAACCCTGCAGCCCCTGCCCAGGCCTCCAGGCCTCCCGGGAGTGGCTTCCCGCCCCGTCCTCAGAACTCTGCAGAGTCATCTGATGGGGACACTGCCCTAGTCACTGCCTGCTCTTGTCCCCAGGGCCAGCCACACACCTCAGGTCCCTTCTTGCGCCGGGAGGACACAGAGTCCCCACAGTCCCTGCCCTCTGGGGCGGGAGCCATCACCCAGGTCCCTGTGGCCACTGCCCTCAGCGAGCAGGGCCCCTCCTCACCGCAGAGCCCAGCAGACGGGGGCAGTCCTGGGAGCCGATGTGAGAAAAGCTACCTCTGCGGGCAGGTCACCTCACCTGGGCAAACCGGTGTTTGCCCGAACCACTTGGCACAAACACGACCACCCCCCACCATCTCCCTCATGCTGCAGGGTCTCCCCAGCCACTCCAGGCCACATGCCTGGATCTTCTCTTGCTTTGCTGTCGTCCCCAGTGACCACCAGACTCGGCCTCCTTGGCTGGCCACAGGCCAGGTCTGGGACCACCCTCCCAACCCCAGTCCACCTGCCCATTTGGTCCTCGGCCCCAGCCAGCCTGAAGCCCAGGAGCCAGGGGCCCACAGCAGACTGGGAGGCCCTCCAGGGGCCCCCCAGGCTGTGTCTGCTCCCAAGAGATCTGCTTATTTCACTGATATCACAGAATTGGGTTCAAGTTTTGCCTGACCGCACAAATGCCCAGCCTGGACACCCAGAATCTGGTGGGTGGGGGGTCGCGGCTGTGCTTCCCAAGTTTCCCAGCAACCTGCAGAAGCCACACACATGTGTGTGCACAGCACACCCACACACACTCACACTGACTCAGGCGACTCCGTCCCCGTGGGACCCAGGTCCCAGGTCTGGTGACTGGACCAGCGCCTCCTCTGTGATGGGCCGGATCAAGCCCGGGAGAACATGCCCCGCTGGCATCACGGCTGATTCCCGGGCACAGTTGTGCTCACAGAGCAAAGGGGAGGTCAGTCCTCTGGCCAGCGGGTCCTCAGTCTTTCGGGAGTGGGGCCCAAGGGGGGCTGACCTCTGACTGGCCCGTTTACCCGCCTGGTACCAGACACTAGAGGGGGACCCTGGCGCCCGCCTGGACTGGGCCTGCTGAGGCTGGGCAGGCGCTGGGCCAGCGGGCTCCGGGGACCCGGTCTCCATGGGGGCTGGAGAGGCACGTTGCACCCCATGCCCCTCAGTGGGGCCCAGTGTAACAAGGGGGTGCCAGCCCTCAGGCCACAC